TCAAGGTTTGAAAAGGAAATAGTCAAGGTAAACCTGTTGAATTTTGTCATGGGAGTTATCATGGAAGCCCTCAAAAATTTGAGGTTTTATTTTCTAAAGATATAACAATCAATTGAAATAGACCAGGTAACCAAAGGTGGGACTATTGGGCAAGCACAAGTGCACCTGCAGTGAGTGGAGACGAGTTAGGATTCAGGATGATATTTTTAAAATCACCAGCCATCTTCTGAGGATGCTAGAGAACTGAACATTGTATTAAGAACTGAGCAATAAGCAGCACAGATCAGGCATTTATCCTTATATAAACTGAAACTCACAGTACCAAATTAGTTTATCTTGATAGAAGCATTCTTGCCCATAAAAGAAACAGAAATAAGAGGAGATAAATGGGAAAATGAGTTAAGATGTGTTATATCCATGGGCCAACTCTCCATGATGAACATCACCATTATGTATGGCAAGCATGTATTAAGAAATAAAATAAAAATAAAAATATAAAAAAGAGTTATATGTCTATTTTGCAAACACTAAGGAATAGCTGACCTTAGGCAACTTCAAGCTGACCTTCATCTGTTTCATAAACCTCCCATTTTGTGAGGCCATGCCTGTAGTCCTGTCTATCCTTCCCCAAATAAACTCTATCATGTTCTTGAGGTCTTATCAATTAAAAGGTAAGACACAGGACAGAGGGGCTTATTAAGCAACTCCAAGGAATGCACAGGCAAATTTAAACTAAAGAAAGCTCCACCCTACCAACAACCCAATTTCTTCATTAAATAAAGAGAAATAAATATAAGCGTATAGACTAAGAAAGACAGCCATATCAACCAATCATAATATATGAACCTTATTTGAGCTAAGCTATAAACAGTAAAAATCATAAGAATTTATGAGAAATCTAGGAAAGTGTCAATATTTCGTATTTCTGAGGATAGTAAGGAAATATTTATACTTTGGGTTTGTTTAACTTTCTAGGTACATTTCATTTTTCCAGTTTAAAAAATTAAAACAAGTCTTACCCAGATCTGGTAGTACATGCCAATACAGTAATCTCAGCACTCTGGGAAAATGAGATAGAAGGGTCACAAGTTTAAGCCCAGCCTGGGCAAATTGGTGAGACCCTATCTCAAAATTAAAATGTAAAAGTGGTTGGGGATGTTGTTCACTTTGAAGACCTCAGGTTCAATCTTTTGTACCATAAACAAAAGTCTTAACTTTAAAACAAAATCCCTACAGAAATATTAACAGATGTAAGGATGCCATGCTTGGGGATTGGCCTCAAAATAACTAGGGATGGAGTTGGGAATAAAAACTATTCATAAATTGATAGTTGCTGAAGGCAGGTATAGACTTATAGGAAATTCATTACACTATGATCTCTACTTTTTAATGCTTGGGATTTTCAAAGTAAAAAGATAAATTTAATACCACATAACAATACACAATAAACTGAAGTGGTGATGGTGAAGAAGTACTCAGAGACCCCAGTGCATGTCTAAATAAAAACACTTTCACAGGAATGCAAATACCGGAAGTGATATTTTACAAATATATTGAGAACTGCTTCGCAAGATTCTTTAAGGGATGATCATGTTTTTCTCATACTAGAACATTGATTCCTGAGTAAAGATAGGCCTTTTCCTGAAAATGGGTCAATCAATACAAGCTAGTTAGCTACCTTACAGAAGATACCAAAAGACATAAAAGGCAACAGAACACCTGGGTTTACAAACATGTTTACTTGTTCTCCCTATTTGTAAAACAAAGACAGGTTTATGAAGGAGGAAAGGACTAGAGGGTTGTTGTCCTTCCAAAGGTATGCTGGCAAATGTAGCCAATACAGTGAAATTCGCCTTTCCTGTTTGCTAATTGTTCTCAACTCTAGTTGCAACTCACAGATTTTTAGTTTTGTGTTTTGGGCTGGGAAAGAAGAATCTTTGGAGATGTTCAAATTTTTTGAAGTCAAACAACTCATTACGAAGTATACGCTATCTGCAATCTAGTTGTTTTGCATTAGGAGAGACACTCTGAGTAGCTTGTCCAAGTTTCTGTCAAAAGAAGTCTCTTCCCTCTACTTATCTGAATTTTATCCATCCAAAAAGACATGAACAAGTCCAACAAATGTAGTTCCTAAAAAGAAGAATATTATGTTTCCAATTTTAAGATGTATTTCTTCGTGGTCTCTAGATCAATGTCTTACAAAGAACCGGCATTTGAAAAATGAGTTGACTGATTTCTTTAAATATATGCAAATCTAAAATTTGCAACACAGTTTGGCAAGTAACAATTTTGCGTATGATATTACCTTATTAGGATTATTATAAAAATATCATCATGCATCTTAATGTTTACTTTCATAAAATGCCTGAAAAAGCCATGGGAGCAAATTTAAACTTTGATGTGAGATTTGGGAGCAGATTCAGCTATGAGGAAGCAAGTCAAGTGAGTTTCTCTGTAGACTGCTTACATTTTTTAAATTATTCGCAAGGATATATTCAGAAATTGTAACGGAACTTTTCAAATATTTATCACGGTGGTTAGAACTTCCATTACAATATCTTTTGAAGGAGTTGTGTTTACAGTGACCTTTTAAAAAGTTGCTACTCCAGGCTTATAAAGCAATGTTATAATGTCTTTCTGTCAACAATATTAAAAGCACTGATCTCTGGGAAAATGTTATAAATAAATTCCACTGCAATAATTATACAAATAGGTAAATATACAAAATGATATTGTATTACACATGTACCAAAGGGTTAGAAATTCTCCACAATAGGGTTTTTAATTTTGATGAAAGCAAAGTACTGCTTTTTCAAATGTAGTGGATCATATGACAACATTTCTTAAAATTGAGCTAAAGAAAGGGAGTATATTTTTTCTTTAGGCATTAATGATGCTACCTATGGTCCGTAATCATTGACAATGATATTAAATCTATGCCTATTTTAATTGCCACATTTTTAAATGATCTAGACTAGAACTATGCTATCCAGTATTGTAATTATTCACATATGGGTTTTTGTAAATAAAATTAATTAAATAAAATTCAATATTTAACTTTGCTGCTGTATTAACCAAATTTCAAGTGATCCATAGCCACACATGGCTAGCAGTTTCCCTGTTAGAAAGTATAGTTATAGAATGTTCTTGCCATCACAGAAGTTCTACCAAACAGTGCTGGTCACCTTTGGGAGACCATAGATGAATGGGACATCTCAAATTATATACATACACATTCCTGTTTATAATATAAAATAACCATTGAAAACACAGCCATATGCATCTATCTCCATTTTTCTTCTTGTATAGGAGATTGACTTAAATCCATCAATTTTATATAATTTTTTCAAAAACCTCAATTTGAATGTCATTATTTAAAGTTATCCCACAGGCATCACAGTGTAGATTTTCTCTTTGTTCTCACTACAAGAATGAATTTCAAATGATTGCATTTCCTCAAGGTAACAGATTATAACAAGATAGCCCATTTCAGCTAGTGGGTTCATTTTTGTTTGTTTACTTCTGATTTTTGTTGTAACAAAGATCTATTTTAACCCTCCTTCACTTCCAGCTTTACCCAGCGAGCCCCGCTCTGACAAATTCCTCATTCAGAGAGCAGCCCTGCAGGTCTCAAACTCCACACTTAGGAAGCTCCTAACTGGCATGAAGAACTAACTTCTTGAAGATTGGGTTCTTTTTATTGGTTTCAGAGGTCTTCAGGCCCTTCCAAGGTTCTAGAAAATTCCTAAATCTAACACAAGGTATTTCTCAATTCAGAGAAGTACTTTTGCTAACTTATAAAAAGCCACTAATATAGAAATGCATTTTGACAGTTTCGTGATAAACTGCAATGTGCTTGCAGTTAGATATTGAACACGAAGAATCTGAGAAACTGAGTGAATTCTCCTCTACTATTTATGCTCAGCAAGGAATCACATTCCTGAGGAAAAGTGGAAAGACACAAGCAAGGAAAGTACAAGAAAATAACATAAAAAACTCCTAGTACCATAGGTCTTTGCTAGTTGCATTTAAATGCAACTCCCTGAAAAGTAGTACATCTGTGTTTGAAAGACTAGATAAATCATAGAGCTTACCTAGAAGGGGAAAAGATTTCACAATTACAGGACTATATAGAAAACTTTGAGTATTTCCATGAGAAATATGTAAACAGTAATGAGTAATCATTTCCTACTGAAAATAATTTTATTTTAAAGATAATCCAAATATGACCAAAAAATGAAGGATAGAGAACAAAGCATTTAGTAGAAATTTCAAATATTTTTGGAAAGGTTCTCCAGAGCAACACTTTAAGTTTCCACGTTACATTTTTGTAGCTCTTCAAAATGAATTAAAGCCTTGAAGTTATCTGCACAAATGTGCATTAGTTTGGCAGCAAAGCATAAAATAAAGAAAGAACAAAGAAAGGAGACAATATTGCCAGCCTCCCAACCCCTTCCCAGATATTTGCAACTTGGTAATTACCCTTCCTTTCGAGACTCTTTGCTTACGTTAAAAATATAACTTCATCTCTGCTCTCTGGCTTATTCTCAAGCAAGCCAAAAGCCAGATAAACTGACATTAATGCTTACCAATAAAATACTATTTTTCTAGTAATTTTTTTTTCATTTTTAAAATTCAAAAATGCTTTACTACATTTAGGCAACTTTTCCAGGCACTAGGCCTCTAACGCAGCTTGTCAGACACTAACGGGCCTTGGAAAAGTTTGAAACTCTCCATTCATTAGGACTTTGAGTAGTTGTTTTGTTACTAAGAATGAGAATTGATGGAGAGGTTGGGACTAAACACATAATTTTATGAAATATGATGAAAACATGAGAGCTTTGTTATGACGCATGTAACAATCAAGAACCTGTTTCTTTTTAGCGAGCTCCTAAAAAGTACCTCCCGGATAATTATTAAATAAAAACACTCACTTATTCAGTACTCAGCTGGCTTTTAAACTCTGAATAAGAGAAGTACACAGTGAGAGAGGTACTTACACGGTTTCCTTGGATACTGGATGATGCCATTCAGGTCTATGTTTTTATCTGAAAGTGGTGCCCTGCAGAGAAATGAGGCTTGGTGAGTGGCTGTTTATACATAGTAAATAAATAGGAACTTTGTTTATTTTACAAAGCATTTTTTATTTTGACCCAGATTTCTTTTTCTCTTCACACCCAACCTTTGTAAACAGCAATAATATGGTAGAACAGGTATTACGCACAAACCCTTTCAACTCCACTTAAGAAATCCTAATTATTAAGCCAGAAGTTCAGAAGGCTTGGGAGAAGCACTCTACTCAGCCTGCTTTGCATATCTTCACTGCTATATTTACTTCAGATGTACTGATGAGTAGTACCGCCTGCCTTTTTAATTCCGTTCGAAAGGAATTTTTCTCAAGCCATCAGTAAGGAAATTAATGTTGAAAATTCACATACATGACAAAAGTCCTTACCTCAACCAGTGAGTAAGAGAACCCTAGCCTTAGCCAGCTTGTGAGCACCGGGGTTTCCACGGACATGAGCTGCCATCTTAGATGTGTCAGGGGCATCCTAGATTCCCAATAGCCCAAGGGCTTTGAGCATACAGTTCTGAAACTCGGTCTCTCACAACTACACGCTTTCTAATTTGGGTAACATGATTAATCCCCCCTATGCGATAAGTTTTAACCTTCTAATATTTCTTCGGATCGCAAAGAACAAATGAGCTACTACAGCAAAGCAGGGCAAGTCACTTGAATGCTTCACACAATTTAATAACCTGAAATGAAGTAAGTGTGTGCTATGTTTCCATTAAAAAGTTTCCAGCCACAATTAATTGAACAAAAACTCGTCTTGTTCCAAGATTATTCTTGGAAATGTAATTTTAAAGCCTGTGTGAAATGAGGAAACTTACTTTTTTATACCATATGAAAGCAATTTCATTTTTTTAGGAATGATTTTTGGATAGACTTCCGATTGGATATTTTCCATTGGAGCTAGCAGTGCAGGGGCTTGGGAAGGGGGAAGGGAGGGAGCTAGTTCTGTGTTCTTTTGCCAGCACTGACAAAGGTCTGCTTGTCAATGATACCTTTACAGCTAAATTTACTCCAGAGTGACATGAACAGGTGCACCTTGGCCTGCCAGACACTTGTGCTGAGGGATCACACATCTCACGGCTTGACGATCGGGGGCAAAGCCTCGGTCTTCATAGAAAAGGAGAGGAGGCGAACGCAGCCCAAACTGGGGGGTTTCTCTTCAAAGCCAGCTGGTCTGGCTTTATTCTACAGGAATTTTTTTACCTGTCAGAGTTTGGACAACAAAACCCTCAGCAGGCGCTGACGGGTACAACTTCCTGGAGAAGCAAGAAAGGCGCTGGTGAGTTTCAATTGCCAAAATATATTTTTTTAATCTCTAAAAGTTGAATTTGTTGTCTTGGAAGAGGCACTCCTGAGGTACCTACACTCACAAAGCTGATGAGACCATCGGAATCACAGCCAACTAACTTCACAGAGGGCTTGCCGGGGACGCAAAGTAGAGCTGCTCTTATTTGACAAGTTTTTTAGATTTTTTTTTTAATTTGTTAAAGCAATAATTTATCTTTTTTAAATATCGGTCTCCTTGAGTACCCTCTTCTATGACAGAAAGATGAGTTAATTACACATATGACATTGGACTAAGTAAATAGCATTTTAATCTCTTTTTCATCTAATTTTGTCACAATCTTTTCTGAATAAAATCTGGTTTTCCGATAAAACTCCAAAATATAAATGTGAAATGGTACATAATCATTTCAAACATTCCATGTGCTTTTTTAAAAAAGAAAATGCGTGCATTTTATAGGAATATGATTAAAGGCAATGTAGAATTAACTGTATTTCAATGCATTTTAAAAGCATGCATCTACAGAATATTTAATAATTAAAAGTAACAACATTTTCTCATTACTTTACAAAGAGTTTTTTTATAGCAAATCTTTAGAATAAACAACCATGAGAGTACTAAAGCATGTTTTTACGTCACTGATTTCCAAAATTAGTACATTTATATATTTGGTATTTTTATTTTATAAATTCAAAAGTTGGGGCAAAAATAATTTTTCAGAACAGGATTTTAATTATTGCAAAAGATGGAAAAATGAGACCACATGTTAGGACACATTTTTAAAAAGTGATTCTATTTCAAGGACTCATTCTTTTAACTATGCTTCATAGCGTTTCTCTACAAATTGTTGTATTATAGCAAATTGAAAACATTTATTTAAGCAAGTGAGTAGCTCAAAGCTAGAAACTATACATAGTAAACATATGAAACCATTTTAACAACAAAATTCCATACTCACAAGCAACATGAACTAATGGATGTAAAAGATACAACACCATACATTGATCAAGAATGCTATAAATTATTATGCATAAAATCAATTTTCTGGACTGTGGGGGGTAGAATTGGTACTTAAGAAGAGAAAGCCTCTTACCAATATAAATTACTAGGACTATGAGGCAATTGTTTTATTCTGATGATCACATAAATAATTTCCAATCTACACACTTCATACATATTTGTATAATGGAGAAAAGAGATCTGGCTTTTGTTAATCACTACTCAATCTAAAACAATTTTTAAATCAGTGATATTTGGATATACTAACAGAAGTTATAAATATCACATTCTCTTAAAAGGGCTTAAATTACATTTAAAATCATAAAATTTAAAAACTGACCAGAGATGATTCACCTAACCAAAACATATTTTTAAAATATAGTCTTAACTAAAAACATTTTAATGAACCATATTTTTACAAATTAAACCCAAATCTACTTTTTATTATAAGTCACACATAGACTATACTTCACAAAATTAAAGTATATTGTGTTTAAAATATATATACATATATATATAAAATATATATACAGTCTCTAGTGAGTCAAACTGGTTTTTAATATGATATTTTGCATGATTCATTATATTAATTTTGACCCTTGAGCAAACAGTCTCTGAATTTTTTATCTAGATGTCTCTTAAAGAATTAATATATATTCTATGCACTTATAATTATTGTAGTATGTTAAATGCTACATTCATAAAGATTCAGAGCACTTGCTTTTAGATACAGCAAAACTGACCATAAAATACACTCTCAGTTCAATTTCAGAATTATATTCTTAAATTTTCCTGTGCACAGGAATTGGCTATAATTAATGGATTGTTATTAACATTGAATGTGAGTAATACAAAAGCTTCTACCAAATTATTGTTTACAATTACCAATTTTAAGTATAACAGAATCTATTAGAAACAGTGTAGCCCAAATATCCAAAATAACTAAAATCTTAATTGTGCCATGAACTGCTGACCTAATCTAAAATTCCATGATGTTTTCTTTGAATTATGAGGATCCATAAATCTTTGTTCACCAAGCTACCTGCTTGTCCTTTCTAAAAAGTCTTCAATATTGTATCACAAAAATAGCTATGCCAGTTCCCTCAATGTATCAGAATGGCTTCTTTTATTAAGTCTTAGTTAAAACTTGTGACTTAAAATTTTTATCTTAAAATTTATGCACTTAAAGCATGATTTGCCATACATTTTCATGTTTAAGGGCAGTGCATTTACAGCACAGTAAATTAATCATTCTCCTCAATAAGGCACTTGAGAATCTTTTTGTTTACCTCCTATCAATAGGGAAAATTTTGATTCTTCCAGCAATTAATTTCAATAAATTATATTGTAACCATCAATTTATTTAATTTCAGCACGACAGAGTTTCCAGCTAAAGTGGTTTACTTATAAGTATTTAAAGAAGCAAAAATGTTCTGGCAGCTTTATATGCTTCTCTTCATTAACCGGACACCTGACTGACAACTGTCAAGTGTCTCTAGGCCAGACGTAAGCCAGTAGAGATAAAAATTGCATATTACTCATCCCTGTTGATAACACCTGGTGCCAGTAGGTTTTCAAGTAGGAATAACTGAACTGTAGACAAAAAGAAGTAAAAGGGGAATCACTTCTACTGCCCACTATCCTTCCCGTCATTAACCCATTCCTTTTCCCTTTCCCATGTATCCCATTTCTGTCCATGTCCCCTCATACCACCTCTATGAAGAACCAGTGTCTTGGAAGGAGTCTCCAAAGGGTGTGACATGGCCATTTCCATGAAAGTTATACGCAGCCATACTGATCTTTTAATCATATTTTCTTTGGAGGTGATGAAATTTTTAAGATGTGGGAAGAAGGCTTTAAAGATTTTAGCTTCTCATTTTAAATAAAATGAAACTGAAGAACAAAAATGAAATTAACCCAAGATCACTGATATGAGTACGGGCATGTAGACTTAAGTCTGTGACCCAAGTTCATATTTACTAGAGTTTTTCGTTCCTATTTTAAACCTGTGAAAACCAAATTATAGGTTTAAAAAGTCACATGGAAAATAATGTGCTACATTCCTTTCAAGAATCCTTTCTAGTCATCAATAAATCTTATTAGAGAAATATATATTTTATCAAAGCATATTAAATCCAGTTCTAAGAAAAAATGCATAAACACATTAAAATTAACTTTATCTTCCTTCATTACTTAGACGAATTTCCAAACAGAAAATATTTAAAAGTGTACACAGAACATTAAAATCATCAACAGTGATACATAAGTTTTTAAAATGAATGCAGAAATCAAAAGTCCAGGTCGTAATTTTTTCTGAAAGATCAGGGAGTAAGTACAAGTACTAAATATATCCAATATATAAGCATGTGTATAATATTTGAGTAAAGAATATATTAAATAGTTCATATGACTGACTCAACAGCTAGGCAGCTTAGTGTCCTCCTGTGTATGTATCTGCATGTGTGTTTGCATGTGTATGTTAATTATCAGACCAGACTGGACCTCACAGGCCCTCAGCAGTACATACCAATAAGCTTAGGAATTGTATTATTCAATAATCCTGTGTTAACATACACCTGATATTAACTCAAATAATTATTAATTATATTAAGAAATATTTTCTATGTATATAATTTGCTGATAAGGCTGTATAATAAACTGATTCACTTAAAGTTATGAAAACATGAACATTTGGGGCTGGGGATTTAGCTCAGCGGCAAGCGCAAGGTCGTGAGTTTGATTCCTGGTACTGGGAAAAAAAAAAGAAGAAAACATGAACATTTAAGCATACATCTCATTGTCTCTCAGAGCTCTAGAAAAGAAATGGTTTAGGTAAACATCTATCACATTTCCAGTTTAAAAGATTCTACCTTATCTCTGGGCTTTGGAGCAGGATTTGCCTATAAGAAATGGAAATTTATCATCTAGATATGCAAATTAATAAGAAACAAAGAGGGTGAAAACTTAAAATATTGATATAGAACGTGGGAAGGAATTGCATTAGGATCTCTGTGTGAAGGATGGGTAGCAAATAATCAGCAGTTCTCAGACTAACAACACCATTTAACAACTAAATTATATATCTAAATTTACAAATGTATTTGCTTATTCTATTACATTTAGTCCAAATCAACGTTAGGCATTAATCAGCAAACCATTTAACAATATGCAATAACAATATGCAAATCAATTGCAAGCAAAATAATCAGTAAATAACATCCACTTCTAACTATTGTGATAGACAGGGGTGTCAAAGCAAAATATGCAAAATCACAAGACTTTCAAGTAAGTTCAATCACTGCCTTGAATTTCAGACAGGTTTTAGTGAAAGCAAGTGGCTCATCCCCTGTCTGCTTTTGAAGGATTAGAAATGTTTGCTCTTTAGCACTGAAGAGCGCTGTCCAGAGCAGCAGAGCAGAAGTAGGCAGATTTGAGTTTTACTCTCCGTTTCACTGCTAAGTAATTTGGGGACTGAAAACAAGTCACTTAAACCCTGTGAAGCAACTGAGTGGACGGGACTTTTTGCTTAGTAATCTACAAACTCCCAGAATGGAAATGTTAATTACCCAATGGAAAATATTTCCTCTGCTTCATGTGACGAGGTTCCAGAAGAGATATGGGCCATCACTGGTGGGTGTCTGTCAGATATGACATGTCCCTTCCTCTTCAGTTTGCTCACAGCTCACCACGTAGGATTTCCAAATAGGTAGAACCAACAGCAGTCCCTACCCTGAGAAGTCAGCGGGCAAAACATGGCCATTTCACAGAACATGACTGAGGCCATATTTTACCCCCCTGAGGGTACCTTGGTAACATAGCGTGAAAGACTCACCCTCAAAACTGTATTGTCACAGGTAGCGTCAAACCTCTCAGTATGCACTCTAAGACTGAGGTAACGGAAAGTGTGTGATGAGTACTTAATATTTTTAGTTTTCTAAAAAGGGAGAACAACTTTGTAAAGTTAAAGAAAATATTCACCAGACACAACTGCTGTA